TAATAGCAAAAGGAAATTTGGCGATGTTTTTATTAAGAGAAAGAATTCGAAAAGATAAATATGTTGTGAGTCGTAAGAGACTTAGCTATAGAATGTTTTAAGCTTGTCCGCGTTCCATGTGCGTGGGATAGAGAGACCAGATAATGTCTCAATGACATATGCCCCCTTATCCGTTTTGCTGTAGATGCGATAAGGTCCTTCCCAGTTTGCAGCCAATTTGCCTTATCACACGTTCTTATTGCCGATGTCAGCTCTGCGTAGGACTAAGTCGCCCACGTTGAAGCCTAGCCTGACAACCCTTAAATTATAGCGCGCTGTTATTCTCTGTTTGAGTGCTATTTCTTTAACGTGTGCGATTTCACGCATTTCCTCTATCGCGTCTAAGTTATGAAGCGATGCATGTGAGTTGCTGTCTTCATTTGTGTACATCTTTCTCCATGATGGTTCTCCAATTTCTACTAGGATCATGGCTTCACTACCATAGACCATGCGAAATGGGGTTTCTCCTGTAGTTGAATGTTTGGTTGTCATGTAACCCCATAGCACAAAGTCTAGCTGTTCAGGCCATTCTCCTTTTGCTGCTTCTAGTCTTCTTTCCAATCCGCGTTTGAGGACTCGATTTGCAGCTTCTGCCAATCCGTTTGTTTGTGGATGTTCGATCGATGTGTATCGGTGTTTGATATGCAAATCCTGAAGAATTTGATTGAATTTTCTGTCCACAAACTGTGTACCATTATCAGTTACGATGGTATGTGGAACGCCGAACCGACTTATGATTTGTCGGTAGAAGAAACGACGAACCTTGCTGGCAGATATCGTAGCTAAAGCTTCTGCCTCGATCCACTTGGAGAAGTATTCGATTTCTACCAGCAACCATTTGACCCCTCCCACAGCCACTGGGAATGGGCCAAATATGTGCATGCCCCATTGGTAGAATGGCCATGGGGACATCATTGAAGATAATTCCTTAGGAGGAGCATGATGTAAGTCTGCATGCTCCTGACATTTGACACTGTCGCACGTGTTTTTTGGAGTCCTCTTCCATAGTTGGCCAAAAATAGCCTGCGCGAAGCAGTTTTCGAGATAAGGATTTCCCTCCCATGTGATGTCCGCCAATTCCCTCGTGTACCTCAGATATTACATACTGAGCCTGCTGAGGATCTAAACATTTAAGCATTGGAGAAGAAAACCCTTTCTTGTAGAGTTGGTTGTTGATGATAGTGTAGAACGAAGCCTTGCGCGATAGCTTTTTTGCTGCGCCTGTTTCTTGTGGTACCTCTCCTCTGACCAAATAGTTCCAAATTGATGTCATCCAAGTCTCTGTACCGTCCAATGGTATGTTGTCATCCATGGATTGCGCATTTTGGGATGGTTGAGCTCTTCGCTTAGTTACTGCCATTATGATGCTAGGATTATGGACGCTTTGTTGGATTACTGATCTGTTGTTTCCTGGTCCCTTTGTGCTGGCTAACTTGGATAAAATGTCAGCGTGGGAGTTTTGCTCTCTGGGGATGTGCTCCATGTTGATGCTTTGAAACTCTATCGAAGTAATCTTACATTTTCCAGATATTTTATCATTAATGCTTCTTTCGCCTGGTAGCTGCCTTGGACTTGAGCAATCACTAATTGTAAATCACTCTTGAGAATTATGTTTTTCCCCCAAGTCTTTGGCCATGGCGAGCCCAGCGAGGACCGCTTCGTATTCGACTTGATTGTTTGAAGCTTTGAATCCAAAATGGATAGAGTGCTCCACAGTAACGCCTTGAGGGCTTTCTACGATGACTCCTGCATCGCTCCCTTTAACATTGGAAGATCCATCGACATAAATAACCCAACCCTCACTCATCTCAGCCTCATGTAGGTGTGTCATTTTGACAAGGAAATCTGCTAATACCTGGACTTTAATTGCTTGTCGCGGTTCATAGATGATGTCGTATTCCGACAATTGTATTGACCACGAGATCATGCGGCCTGCCAAATCAGGTTGTCTCAGCACTTGTCGAAGGGGTTGGCTTGTGCGAACTTTGATAGTGTGTCCCTGGAAATAATGGCGTAGGCGTCGCGATGTCAAGATGAACGCGAAAGCAACTTTTTCAATTTGCTGATAGTGTAGTTCTGGTCCTTGGAGTGCTTTGCTCACGAAGTAGATTGGCTGTTGTTCCTGGTTCTCTTCGCGCAATAAGACAGCGCTTATGGCTTCATTGCTGACTGAGAGGTATAAGACCAAAGGTTCGTTGGGCAAAGGCCTGACCAAAACTGGTGGGTTGGCCAAATGTTCTTTAATGGCCACGAACCCTGCCTCGCACTCGGGAGTTCATGTGAAATTTGACTGTTTGCGTAATAGTTTAAACATTGGCAATGACTTTTGTGCTGACGCAGGAAGGAACCTGGTCAAGGCAGTGATTCTTCCTGTCAATTGCTGTAGTTCCTTTACGTTTCGTGGGCTGGTCATATTGAGTATGGCTTTGCATTTATCAAGATTGGCCTCTATCTCGCGATGCGTGAGCATGAATCCTAAGAATTTACCAGCAGGTACTCCAAACGCGCATTTGGCTGGATTAAGTCGTAACTTGTATTTGCGCAGTTGCTGAAACACTTTTTCCAAATCCTGGGGATGTTGTACAGTAGTCATTGTTTTGACTATCATGTCATCAATGTATACTTTAAGCATTTGACCAATCTGTTGACTGAAAACTTTATTCATCATTCGTTGGTAAGTGGCATCGGCATTCTTGAGACCAAACGACATCATATTATAGCAATAAGTAGCTTTTTCAGTGATAAAAGTTGTAGCCTCTTCGTCTGGTGCAAACATTGAAATCTGGTTATAACCTGAGTATGCATCCATAAAGGATAAAATTTGGTATCCCGCAGAGTTATCCACCAGTTTATCGATGGTGGGAAGTGGATAAAAATCCTTTGGGTAATACTTGTTAAGGTCTGTGTAATCTGTACACATGCGCCACTTTCCGTTGGGTTTCTTGACGATTACCACATTAGAGAGCCAGGTGGAGTATGAGACTTCCCAAATTATCCCTGTATCAAGTAGTTTTGCTACTTCGGTCTCTACCACCATCTGTTTTTCTGGGGAAATCTTGCGCTTTTTCTGTGCGATTGGTTTAGCTTTGGGATCTAACGTTAAATGGTGACAAATAACGTCTGGGTCTATTCTTGGCATGTCAGCTGCTGTCCAAGCAAAGAGATCTTCATGTTTCAATAGCACTGTTACCAACGCACTCTTTTCTGCTTTGGGGAGGTGTCGTCCAATTTTGGTAACGTTTTAAAGTAGTGGCCCCACCTGAAGGTTTTCCAATTCTCCATCGGGTTGAGGACATGTATCCCGCAGATCTTCGCGCATATCGAGATATGTCATATTGACAGATGCTTTGACTTTGTCATCAGATGGTAAAGGGGCTTTGGCTCGTAGGCTAGTATTATAGCAGCTGCACGCTGCTTTCTGGTCACCCCTGATAGCAACTACTGCGCCAGATGTATCGCAGAATTTCATAAAAAGGTGGGGCATAGAGATGATTTCCTTGAGTACGGCAATGGTTGGTCTTCCTAGGATGATGTTGTATGCCGATGCGTATTCAATAACGTAAAACCGTACTTTGATAGTACGCGCTCGAGGCAGGATTCCAAAGGTTACCCATATCTCAATGGTGCCCTTAGGTTGTACGCATTCTCCAGCGAAGCCAATTAGGTCTGAACATCCATGAAGTAGATGTTCCTCTGAGATGTGCATCGCGCGAAAAGCATCCCAGAAAATAATATCAGCTGAACTACCATTATCAACCATAATACGTTTTACCTGGAGAATATTAACCATGCAAGCTGAGATCACCAACGGGTCATCATGGTCTGGGATGATGTCGCCATAGTCGTCGTCGTCAAAAATTATGGCCTGTCTTTGACTACGAGAAGTGGAATGGCGAGCGTGATTGCGCACCGTCATGACTGATTTCAGATGCTTTTTGCGTTGAGATTTTGTCGCACCTCCTCCCGCTAATCCACCAGCAATGGTAGCTAAAACTCTTGCCGCGTTATTAGGTAGTCCATCGCGCTGTTGCTGCGTGGTTCGCTGTCTATTTCGCGGTGGAGTTCCCTGACGTCTGTCAGTCAGAGTTGTTCTGTCACTTCTTTGATCATTGTTACAAGCAGGGTTATAGTTTCTCCTGGGATACGCCCTTTGTTCATTGGAATTTGGGTCGTGGTCTGGACTTCTATCGCGTCTTCTCAGCGCCTTATACTCCCTGCAACTGGAAATGAACTCCTGGAGTTTTCCTTCTCGTATGAGTGCCTCAATGGTATTTTTAAGCGCGAGGCATTCATCAGTTGTATGACCTTTGTCATTGTGAAATTCACAAAATTTAGTTTCATCGCGCTGCCCTCCTTGCGGCATTGGGGGTGGCCTTTTGACCCGTACATACCCTGTTTGGAATACTTCCTTCAGAATACGTCTTTGGGAGGTGTTTAAAGGGGTGTAATTGTCGTATCTCCCCCACTTTCTCCTTTCGCGGAATTTTCGTTGAAAATTCTTCTGGACATCTCTCTCAAAGTTGTCAGTGTTGACCCTGGTGTTTGAAATTTCGCGTGAACGCTTGTAATCTTCCAAGTTGATGAATTTTTCTGATCGCGCTCTTAATTCCTCTATGGTGCGTGGTCGCTGTTTGGCTAACGACATAGAGAAAGGGCCTTCCAGTAAACCTTCAGTAATTATATGTAGTGAGACTTGAGGATCCAAATCTCTGACCAAGAGTGCTTCATCAAAGAATCTGTTTAGATAATCACGCAAAGTTTCTTTAGATCCTTGGCGCACAGTTTTTAACGCGTGTGTAGATTTGTATTGTGCCTTGCTCGTTGCAAATCGTATGAGGAATTGGTTGGTTAGGTCCTCCCAACTTTTCACCGAATTAGGTGGCAACGCTGAGTACCAAGTGCTGTCTCCTTTAGGGTTGTCGGAAACAGTCGGCATGCTATTAGATCTGCCACATCCTGTGCCATCATGTTTGTCTGGAATTGTTCTAGATGCTCTTGGGGATCCCCCTTGCCATTATATTTTTCTGTTGAGATCTTGATATCCTGAGAAATTGGGATGTTCATTGTACAAGGAAGGAAAGGGTGAACGATTCGAGAAAATATTCTTGAATTTCCATGAGAATTTTCATTCTTATGAGTATCTTTTATTTCTTCACCTTTCTTATTTTTGTGACCCGAAGGTCCTAGGTTATCAGCTGAGTGTGCATGGAGTGGTTCACTTTCATCATAATTTTCAGGATTTTTTCCTTTCTCAGGATCTTTTTCTTTTTCTTTTTCTTTTTCCTGGTTTTTGTCTTTACTCTTCTGAGATTTTTTCAATCGAGCTAAATCTCGATTCTGCTGGACAATTTTCTTATTCTGTAGTGTGATGAGGTCCAACAGATGTTGGGGTGTCGGTGGTTCATCCAGGTGGATGGGAATTGGTGCCACCGACGAAACTGATTTTTCACAGGAAGCAGGGGTCTCCTTCCGCTTTCCTCTGGAGCCATTCTGGGATTTACTGCGAGTGTCAACCATGTTTTTAGAGAAAGATGGGTAGTTATTTCCCACAGACGGGGCCAATGATCTGACCAAATACGGTATGGACTGTCCGATACGTATTGAGCCCAATCACACACGGTTGAGACTCCTTCAATGGTTATTGGCCTAGGCCAGGTACTGCTGTTAGAGCGAGCTTGAGCCCTTTGTCCTTCACGTTGCACCAAATGGGGGGGGGTACGTGCGAAGACACTCTGATGCTTAAGTTAGTATCAGAGGTAGGTGTGTTATGTTGTTAAAGTAAAGGATGATCGTACCTTGGTGGTATATCGTGTGTTTATATAGTAACTGGGATGCCGCCTTAGTTAAGGCGGCTTGGCTTCTGAGTGGCCAGCCTTGGGCTGCAGGTTATTTAGGGGACCTGTGTAGACTTATCTTCCAGAGGGTCTAGTAGTAGATTTGAGACAAGCTGGAGCTGTTCGTTGCTTACTGGAGCTAAGGCACAGTGGAGTTACCTTGAGCCTTAAGTTTACTTCTCTTAGAAGGTTTCATACGCGATATGAGAATCGGGTCTTGTGTGCCGCGATGAGACCATCGCATCCTGTATGTCGCGATGGGGGATATCGCGTCTGGAACGCCGCGATGTAGGCATCGCATCAATGCTTGTTCCTTGTGCTTCGGAAGGGTTTGGGCTTTCTTTATGGGACTTTGATTGGGCCTATATTTTATCCGGATCAAATGGTGATCCAGCTTATTAACCAGCTCAACTTTAAACATTTTCATTTTGACGAAAAAGCATGTCAGTCATTCATATCAACATTATAATAGCAGGATTTCATTTATTTATTTTTTAAATATAAGGGTTTGATTACAAATTTTTTTGTCCTTATAATTTTAAATTGTTTTAATGACCCGCGAATTCAGTTTATTTATTTATTTATTTATTTATTTTGGTAAATGAATTTAGTTTTTTTATAAGCTTATAACCGTGCTTTAACAACAAATATCTAACTGGAATTTTCTAACATTATAAAAAAGTAATTATAAATATATGAAATATAAATACTTATTTAAAATATTTATTGAGAACTTATAAATTAAGTGTCTGTTTAATTTTTTTTTAAGCTAGAAGCTATTATTAAGCCAAACATGTTTTAAAAAAAGAACTCTTTTTTTATAATGAAAGAAAAAAGTTAAAAGGCAAAAGCTCTTGAGAGGAGTTTTTTTTAAACTCTTATGGACTTTTCTTTTTTTAAATGAAGAGTTATAGAGATAGAAAGAGAGACAGAGAGAAAGAGTTTTCTTGAAATATGTGTTGTAATTTTTAAGCTAAAATATTTATATAATCACCAAACAGATTTTAATTTTTTTTTTGTTTTTTTTTAAATTTTAGCTTATCTTCTGGCTTAAAAAAGAGAGGATCCAAATAGACTCTAATTTAGGATAAAAGTTTACTATTATATGAGAGGAAATTTGTCCCCTGACACAATATATAGATGGATCCCACTTTGAATAGGAAAAAAAGAAAGAAAGTAAAACCCAAAAACAGGAGACAAATTTCTTCTCCTATAACAAAAGAAAACTATTACCCTTTAATTTAACTCTTATAAGTATAGGAAATATTATTCTCCTATTACATAAAAATAATATTTCCTTCCTGCTGAGAGAAAAAATTAAGAAAGAGAAAAGAGAATAAAATAAAATATTTGACATGGGACCCATCATATTCCTCGATCTACCGGAATACTATTCCCCTTTCCTACGTAGAATTTTATTTCCCTATAATTATATGAGGGTTTGATTTTCTCATGTTGCATGAGAATCGAATTTTCATGTTGTGACTTAACTAGTGATGGGTCCTACATTTATTAAAAAAAGAAAAAAAAAGTTTTGCACGTATATCGAAAGGTTACAACATAAGAATTAGGGGTGTTCGCGGTCTGGATTGGATCGGTTTTGGAAGCAAAACTCATCCGATCCAATCCCTTCGGTTTGATCATGTAATCATCCATTCGGTTTAGATTTTTTTTCAAATCCGATCCGATCTGATTCAATCCAATTTTTTTCAGTTTGGATTGGATCGGTTTTCGATTTTTTGAAAATCCTAAAATAAGTTTCATGATTATTGTGCAAATAACATCTTTTGTATATATTGGCTTTGTAAAAAAAATAAATTTGAAATACAAAAATATCAGTAAACAATACCATAGTTGATGAGACGTGACTAAGTTTTTTTTTGGGTTTAGTTGATGAGTTAATGGGTCTTGAGTTTAGAAATTTTTGGGTTATGATTGGAGAAAGGACAAGTAGGTAGAGAATAATTAATATATTGGATCGGTTTGGATTGGATCGGTTTTCATCAACCCATCCGAAAACCGATCCAATCCAATTAAAATTTGCGGTTTTCTTTCGGTTTCCAATTTTTCGGTTTTCGGTTTACTCGGTTATCGGTTTATTCGGTTATCGGTTTTTCGGTTCGGTTTTCGCGGTTTGAATCGGTTTGGATCGGTTGATGAACACCCCTAATAAGAATTCGATTCTCATGCAATATGAGAAAATATTTTTCCAATTATATGTAACCAAGAAAAAAAATGTTAGAAAACATTGATGTGTATCTAAACTTTTGTTTGTTACTTTTTATTTTTAATTTATTCAAAAACCAACATTACAATTTGTAGTTAAGAAGCAAGGAGAGAGAGAAAAAAAATGTAAGTTTAGCTTTGCTTAATTTTCAGTTATTTTGTAACGAATTAATTTTTAGGTTTTATTAATGTTATGTTACATAACTTAAGTTTTGTTTCCAACACACACAACAAAAGGGCAGAAAGTGGAATAATGAAAGAGAAAAAAAAAACATGTGGACCCCACCTCTTTAATGTGTGTGTAGGAAAGTGAAGTTGTATTATGTTACATAATAAACATAGGGAAAAATGTGTGTCATTTTAAAGGATGTAAAGTTGTGTCATTTTAAGAGAGAGAAAGAAATAGATAAAGAAGGAGAGAAAGTTGACAAAAAAATAAAGGTGTGGATCCCACCTTTTTGTAAGAGTAAAAGAATATAAGTTGTGTCATTTAAAAGGATAAACACTTTTTCCATAAACATAAAACCCTTAATTTTTCTCGTATATTATAGAAATAGAGTAAACACCCTTTTTAGTTCCTGTCAAAATCTACAAAGTCCTTTTAGTCCCTGGCAATAAAAAAGGACCAAATTGGTCCCTGAAATTACAAAAAAGGGGCCATGTTAGTCCTTATGTCAACTCCCAAATATGTAGAGTGACCCTTTTCTTGTACTTTCAGGGACCAATTTGGTCCTTTTTTATTGCCAGGGACTGAAAAGGACTTCGTAGATATTTCCAGGGACTAAAAAGGGTGTTTACTCATAGAAATATTTTCTATACACACATAAAAAGAGTAAAGACTCAAATTGGTCCCTGACAAAAAACTCGGTGCCTAAATTAGTCTCTCACAAAAATAAACTCGTTGAATAGTCCCCAACAAAGTGAAACAGGACCCACGTTAGTCCTTCTGTCAATCCAAAACTAACGGTGTCAATGACAGTGATGACGTGTCACGTTAAGTGACATGCTGGAGGCCACGTGGGTTGAGGAACGACGTCGTTTTGAGAGACTCATCCACGTTGGTCAGTATGGTCCCTAACAGTTTTAACAAAGGGGACCAGTATAGTCCCTAACATTTTTAGCGGGGTTCTTTTTAGTCCCTGCTAAAGTTCTGTTAACACCAGTGCCACCATTTGCTATTAACACACCAGCGATGTCATTTCCCGTTGTACATGCTGATATTAGTCATGCATAACACAATCAACTTCTGCATAATTCACACCATGACATTCTTAGTTTAGTCTTTATACATTGTTCCCATTCCTTTTTTTATCTCCATCGAGTTTATACAACATTTTGTGCCAATAAACATAACTTCAAATACATAAGCCATGCTACATACATTGCATGAACAACAATTCATTACACCAGCAAATCTCAACATGGGAAAATATATTACAGAAGTTATGAATTGTTGTAATGAATTGTATGTATTCCCATTACACCTTGCTACATACATACATTGCATGTACTCTTTAAATGTTGGAACCTGACACTCTTGATCAACATCATCCCCACCATTACCTTCAAAACCAGAAAACCAAACACCAAATCAAAACAAAAACTAAAAAGCAAAACTTTTTTCAAACCAACAATAAAACAAGAGGAAAAGAACCATCCCCATGTAGGACTAGCAAAACAAATAAACCCAACCAAAAAAAAAAAAACAGTTCTACTCAACAACATCATTGGAGAACACTCCCACCACAACTTCAAACCCAAAACAAGGTCAAAATCCAAGAAGGGAAACACAAGAGCATGTTGTTGCTCATTACAAGGCTATGAAAAATAAGAGAAGTACCAAAGAAAAGGTCAAGAGTGAAGAGGGTACCTGGATCGGGTTTCTTGGAGTCGGGTAAGGCGGTGGAAGGGTCTTCAGGAGAGTGGAGATGAGTGGTTTTGGAGTGTAAGCAACCCAGGGTTATGATTAATGTGGTTATGGTATATGTCTATATGATATATATAAAGTGTGTTGTCTACATAGAAACGAAGGTTGAAGAGTACAACACTAGATTCTATAGAGCCACTATATATAACGTGAGAAGGGTCAAAAGCAGGACCAGAAGAGTGTTGGTTCAGTGTTTTAAAACCGAAAATGTTGGGGTTTCCCGTGCTGCAAGTGACTGAGTCACCGCTACTGTTGCTTGTTGCAGCGACGGAAACACAGAAAAGAAAGAGAGAGAATGATGAAAAAGGCCAAAACAAAAAAGGTGTGAAAATAGGAGAATGAAGTGTGTGTATGTGAGAGAGAGAGAGAGAGAGAGAGAGAGAGAGAGAGAGAGAGAGAGAAAGAAAGAGATGAAGGAAACAAGGAGCAGAGAAGGTCACATGACAGGGTCTATCATGGAGCACGTTCTTCCCCCAGGTGAGATACTGTGAGGCTTTTTCTAATGGCAGTTTTCTTTTCTTTACTTTTTTATTTTTATTTTTTCTTTTGGGGGCATAGACTTGGAAAATTACAACGTCAGCTTGTAAGTTGTAACAAACATCAAAAGAATGCTTCAAACTCAAACATCATTACACAATTTGAAGTTATTATGTAATGAACAACAATGTATGTATCTCAGCAAATCTCAACAATCCAACATTACACCAGCAAATACATAAGCCATGCTGGTGTAATAAATTGTTGTTCATGCAATGTATGTAGCATGGCTTATGTATTTGAAGTTATGTTTATTGGCACAAAATGTTGTATAAACTCGATGGAGATAAAAAAAAAGAATGGGAACAATGTATAAAGACTAAACTAAGAATGTCATAGTGTGAATTATGCAGAAGTTGATTGTGTTATGCATGACTAATATCAGCATGTACAAGGGGAAATGACATTGCTGGTGTGTTAATAGCAAATAGTGGCACTGGTGTTAACAGAACTTTAGCAGGGACTAAAAAGGACCCCGATAAAAATGTTAGGGACTATACTGGTCTCCTTTGTTAAAACTGTTAGGGACCATACTGACCAACGTGGATGAGTCTCTCAAAACGACGTTGTTCCTCAACCCACGTGGCCTCCAGCATGTCACTTAACGTGACACGTCATCATCGTCATTGACACCGTTAGTGTTGGATTGACAGAAGGACTAACGTGGGTCCTGTTTCACTTTGTGGGGGACTATCTAACGAGTTTATTTTTGTGAGGGACTAATTTGGGCACCGAGTTTTTTGTCAGGGACCAATTTGGGTCTTTACTCCACATAAAAATAAGTCATACTTTAATTATTTTTTTAAATTGATGATAAGAAAAATAAAAAGTACTATTTATTTCCTTGTACTTAATTAGACGGCGATTACTTGTAGCTGAAATTATGATCAAACCTCTGCAAAATCTTAATAGTGGGAATAGCCTGAGAAGAATTTATTATTGTATGACACAAGTTATTTGCTCCTGTTATCTTCGTTTTACATAAACAAACCCTAACACAATTGGTAACTACAAGCGCAACAAATATGTCAGTATCAAGTTGAAGGTACGCTGTTTCCACCCTAAGGTTTCATTCAAACTTACGGGTGGCAAAACTGGTTCTGACCCGTGGATTGACCCGTGACACGACTCGTCGAAATGCCTGTCGTGTCAATCCGTGGGTCACTACAGGTCATGTACGGGTTTAAAAAAATTGACACATTTTTATTCGTGTCGGGTCACGGGTTAACCCGCGGGTTCGCGTGTCAACCCGTATAGTGGATATTTTGGTAATTTTTATTGAGAGGTATAAAAACTTTATTTAGGTTAAGGTTATTATTACTTGTCTATTTTTTTTTAATTTATTTAAAAAAAACAATTTTGTCATTTTTTTTATATTTCAAATTTTGCGTGTCGTGTCGTGTCGACGCGTGACCCGCAACGGGTCGTGTCAGGGTTCGTATTTTTTGACCCGTTAACAATACGTGTCGTGTCGTTTCGTGTACGTGTCAAACGTGTGCCGTGTCGTGTCGGGTTGACCCGTATTGCCACCCCTAAATTATCAAACCCCTCTTCTTTGCTTTTCGTGGATCTCAACAAATATCTCCAGTCCATAGGACTTGCTTAGAGCAAATTAGTTAGTACTTGATGTTGATCAATCAAACATATGAAGTTAAAGAAAAAAATTACTAAAAGCTTACAAATCCAAGAAACTATAGGGAAAAATAAATGAATTCATTTCACTATAAAGTAGCTATTTTAAATCCAGATTCAAACATTTGATTTCGTAAGGAAAAGTTTAGATAGGGGAGAGGGTGTCCTATTCTAAGGTCGGGCATGCCACAAACTTCAGGTAGGTCAAATCGAGTATTGTAGGTTCGGAAAAATTACATTTTGAATTATCATGGTTCTTAAGAAAAACTACATTCTGAATTAATATGATGCATAAAGCATGGGGGTTCAAGAATTGATAAATTATTAAACAGACTAATTGGGGTATAAAAAAAAAATATTACAAAACTACTTGTAAATATCGTAAATTTTTTTCTAGAGATATTTAACATTCCTTTAAATATGTTATAGAATATCATCTCTACTACACAATTGGGTACATCTTCACCTTCCACCACTTTTAATAAAGAGGTCAAGCAATAAGACACTCTTAGGCAAAATTTCAAATTTAACATTCAACTTCTACACCATCTTTTCCTTACAGGTTACAAGCACCCAAGTTGTTGAATGCAGAGGGTTCAATTTCTCCAAGAGAATTTTTTTTCTTTTTCTCCTAAAATTTTTCCCTTCAACTTCTTTCATAACATTCTTTGAGAAGTGCGTTCAAGGCTTGTACATTCAAATAGGAGTCATCATAGTTAATTTGAAGAAAAAAAAAGGTTTTATCTAGGCTGCATAAAAAAAAATTTGCCAACTGATTCTATGAAGAGGATGTAGTATCAAAGAAAACAGAGATAGCTAAACATAGAATGACTCCGCAGAACAAAAGTGAAGCTAAAAGCTTTTTGTTTTTCGTATTAAGATATAAATAAGCAATTTGATGAATCAGAGGTACTCAACCTAAAGAAACCGCTAGCTGCTGCCAAAGGGCAATAGAAAATTTGTATACAAAATCTGAAAAATGTAATCTTACATCTTAAGTACGATTGGTCACATCATTTTTTGCTGTGTATACGTGTATTGATCTTCTGCTTTGGGCACTGGCTATCAGATTGCTGATAAATTACAGGTGGAGGCAGCATTCATCATAACAAGTGGCCTAAGTAATCTGCAATCCCATGCTTGATAATAGAGAAAATTTGATGGACACATTCGCAAATTTATACAATTTAACACTGATCATCTCTGTACGTGAAGCCACAAATGTAGTACTACATCACAATGCACATGAACAAGTTCTGTCAAAAGAATCATAAAAAAGTTCACACCAGAGAAAAATAAAACAAAAAATGTCATGGTTCCCAAACCACATATATCAGTTCAGTAAACAACCTTGTTTAACGTCCTCTAACCAAATAATATTTTCAGAAGCATGGTAGGAATATTTAATTCAAATACAATATTGTCACTCAATAATTAACTTTAAAGCCCTGCTCTGGTTCAAGGCATCAGACCCTAAAGAAAACTCAAATATTTAACGAGTATTTCTTACATGTTTGCTTGGCAGGGCACTATATATCCCTGATGTTACATAAACTGCATATGCTACATAAATTAGTAAATTGTATCTCAGGCATGAAATGAAGAAGCTAAATCACAAAATCTTCCACTTTCCCTCAAGGGCACCACAAATCCTTGTAATACACTAAGCAGCACTTAGAGGGTACCCAAAAACTGCAAACAGAAAAACACAATGAAGTAAGAAACTAGACAATATCTCAACAGTGGTGCATATTAAGTAATTATCTGAGGTATATTTTTTTCCATTTTTTGCATAGATACAATTAGTTTCCACAACAAAATTTAAGGAAAAGTAAAATTGATCCAAAGTTGAAGGGGGTTGATTCCTAAGATCAGAAGCTTTTAGCAAGTTCAAGCAAAACCTTTTACCATCCAAATAGGGCACAATTTAACCTTGAGCTGTATTCATGGGAAAGAGTATAACATTCCATTTTGGTTCATTAAGTGGCCATCCTATCATAAAAATGTGGCTGTTCACTTGCAAGATTCTATTTATTCTTAATAAAATGCAAAAGTGGTGTCATTATTTGATCAGACCAAAAAAGCTTAAAGTTTTTGACTGAGCAAAGGATTCTGGGTGAAGACCAGCAGATGTGGACCTCCAAATTGCTGGGGCATGACTTTGAGATTCAATATCATCCAGGTAGACAAAAGCAAGTTGCTGATGCTCTTACCCGTCAAATGCTTTTGGCTGTGATTTCACAAGTACAGTTGCCCGACTTAGACCAGTTGGAGATAAGTTCAACAAGACCCGAGACTTTAAAAGAACGGAAGTTCAACAATATGCAGGCTCTCATCATCAGCCCTGAAGTTCATGAGGGGTTCAAGTTGAAAGAAGTTAAGTTTTTCTATAAGGATAGGTTGGGCTGTCAAAGGAGTCCACCTTCAATACTCAAAAGAGTTTCATGACTCTTCCTTGGGTGGGCATTCAGGTTACTTCAGAACTTATAAGAGAATTGCTGGTTTAATGTATTGGGAAGGTAAGAAAAGAAGAATTATTAGAGTATCTGATTAATTATTTAGTTCCGTATCTTATGGAATTAGTTGCATCTGTTGTAAACTAGATTCAGTTAGGCTATTAGCTTATTGTATAAGCCTTCTGTTAGCAGGTCTATAAATAGACCCTTGTGTATATTCTCAATCAGTTTTGACATTTTCAGAAATATGAAATTCAGTTCTCTCTTTGATTCTCTCTCTCTCTGATTCTCTGGTTCTCTCTCTTCCTTCCTAGTCAATTTCTCTTTCGTTTAAGAATAAAGGATTATGTGGCTGCTTGTGATGTGTGCCATCAAAACAAGGATCAAAATCTTTCTCTTATAGGGTTGTTACAACTACTTCCTATTCCCACGGGTGGTCTGGGCTGATATTTCAATTGATTTTGTGGGAGACTGTCACGGGCTTTTGGTGTAGATACTATATTTGTGATGGTTGACCACCATACCTAATATGCCCATTTTTTACGTTTAAGCCATCCATATAAAGCCAAGGAGGTCATGGAGTTGTTTGTAAAGGAAATCGTTAGACGCCATGAAATTCTATTGACCATTGTATCTTGACAGTGATAGGGTTTTCTCAAGTATATTCTGGTCTGAATTATTGAAAATTTTCGGAACCAAACTGCAGTATAGCACAGCTTATTATCCACACACCAACAGGCAAACTTAAGTTGTTAACCACTGCCTGAAAACCTATTTGAAGTGTTTTTACAGCCCCAAACCAACACACGGGCCTAAGTGGATACATGGGGCAGAATTTTGGTACAACACTACCTACAAAGATCCCATGGGCATGACCCCATTCAAGGCTTTTATGATTGTCTCTCCATTTGAAACTGACATTACTTTTTGATTTGCCACTATCCTTTTGAACATTTGACTTTGGTTTTATTCTTTATTCACAGAATGTATAATCTGAATTTAAAAGGACAATTATTAGGATATCAAGCCAGAGTTACCTTCAGGAACAGATGTAAAATTAGAATTCAACCAAAACTAATGTGAATATTATCAGCCAAATAACTGCAATGCAGATCAGTATATTTTACAATAATTAGTAATCACAGTGTACACCTATTTGATTACACTTCGAGCAAATTATAAGTATCAACATGAACTTCGACTGGATTGAAATCTCACACAATGGTGCAGTAAAATTAAAATTAAGTTCAATCGGAACCACAACTTAGTACCTAAATACTATGGGATAACCGAAACAATATAATGACAAGGCTTGCAATAGGTCCCTTGTGACCGTAAGTTGTTGATCAATAAATGAAACAAAATGCAATCCTCTGAAAGATGTTCCATACAAACAGTGTTCCATACAAAAGATATTCAGGTATACACTAAACTACACTTATTTCCATCTTAACATGGAAATCACTAAGGAAACCAAGTCTATATATATCCAAGAGTTCCACAAACGCGGTTCTCTTGACACAAAACAACTTTAATATGGTTACATCTTATACAATTAGTCCTAATACATCCTCTGAAAATAGAATTTTGATTCCAACTATGCACATGATCAATTCAGTAATACAACACTATTATCGTTGTTCAAGTATTATATAAAGTAAGGGGACGAACCGGAGCAGTGGTAAAACTGTTCCTTCATGACTGAAAGGTCATGGGTCGAATCCAAGAAACAGCCTCTTTCCAATTATGCAAAGGTAAGGTTGCGTACAAGGATTTTCTCCACCCTACACTCGCTAGACGGGTTTAACGGGGAGTGATTTTTTTTTTTTTAGTATTATATAAAGTCAGTCCTGAATCAATTTTACTAGTTAGAACCAAATTAATCAGAGTTATCCAAACTTCTTATTAATAGGCGTATGTGTAACTCAATTGACATGGCATAACAATTAAAATTTCGAGCAAAGAATCGTTGGTGATTAAAGAGGTCAGGTTCAGGAAATGCTTGAAGCATGAATCTCAAGATAGAAAATGGAAATAAACACTTATTTGCTCAAACTTAGTACTAAAATTAAATAGGAATATAACAAACTTTAAGCACACTGCACATAAGAAATTTTTTAATTCAGGCTATGGGTTTTCTCGGGAATCAGAAATATCAAATAGGGCGATTTGCTGACTGAGATCATGTTTTTATTTAACTAAACTCACAGGGTAATTCAGAAGCAACAGTTTATAATATGAGCTATGACATGAATGGAGTGATGCACAAAGTGGTTTACTTGGGTGACCAAGACCTTTACTCGGGTAACATGGTTTAATGTTGTAAGGCAATACTCAAATTAACTTCTAATCAGATTATAGATCACACAATAAGCAACTCACTGCAAGTAACCAGGATACAATCACAACACCAAAGAGCTATTAAGTGGCTGTTACAGTAATTTAATTTCTAGAATAGAACCAATTTATACATCAAAGCTCAAGACTGAACTCAGTCAGCCTTATGATATATATATATATATCAGTGTGTTCAAAGTTTTTTGCAACTCAGCCATGCTAAGTATAATCTTTGACGTAGGCTAGTCACTTAGAACCATCAAATAGGTTATAGAACTTTGGTCCTATCCTAAGACGAAGACAGTATCCAAATCAAATCACACATACAGTTTAGTCAAAACAACTAAAGATTGGTTGAAACTACCTTAAGGTTCTTGCTTCACTAACCAAGATTCTCTAGAATGCGCCTCTAACCCCTTTCATGATTTCGTAATGAATCAGGTTATCTAGCAAGTGTGCCTAGTACAAGTCATGACCATGTATATCTCATACACCACAATGAGTTGAACAGACTCATTACTTCGTAATCAGGAAATACATCGTCATGTCAATATTTGACCAATCCAACACTTTCCCATCTCCAGTGCATTTATGGGTACCTTGGCCTGGAAGTGTAGCAGCCCGTGTGCACCTGGTTATTTACCTTTATACTACCAGGGTCAGTGCAAATACCACATTCAACTAAGATTTGCAAGATTCTCCAGTCATATGAACACTGCAAAAAAAGTAGCTTTTATAAAGCTGATGCTATTTAGAAGATTTTCAACCTCTCTTACTCCGTCTATTTAAAGTCAACTTCCACACTAGGAATTATGCACCGTGGACATCCAATTTATTTTAACAACTTATGGGTAATTGATTTTGACACAAGGATTCTCCAAAATTCTTGGAATTTCATTTTGGTTCTTCTTTTAACATCAAGAGGTAATTATCCAGATACAGAGGGGTTATTATCCGGATAAATCACGGGCAAACCTAGAATTGCATGAAAGTGCAGACCAACCATCATAGGAGGGATGTGCAATTCATTGTGGGGGATTTGGTGTATTTGAAGTTGCAGCCTTATAGGCTCAAGACTATAGGAGGATCCATGAAAAATTAAGCCCAATATATTATGGTCCCTAGAAAAATCTGGAAAGTATTTGAGAATCTGCCCATAAAATTCAGCTACCGCCTACTGGATGATTGCAAAGTTCACCCCGTATTGCATGTGTCACTCCTAGGGGGAGCAATCACAGCATAATTCACAGCCCCTGCCTTCCATTTTGACCGAAGAATGGGGAATTAAAGGTGGAACCTGAAGCTTTGGTGCAATGGAGGCATTCCAGTAACGGGAGTTTAGAGGTTCTCATAAAGTGGTCCCATCTTCCAGATTTTTAAAACACTTGGGGAAGATTATAAGTTATTAATTGTTAGTTCCAATTTCCACATTGAGGACAAGGAGCTGAATTTTTAGCAAATATTTCCTAAAATGACCCCCAATAGAATGAGAATGTGGGAGGGAGTTAGTTAAGAAAGGGGGTTGGAGGACCAGGAAGGCTATTGAAAACCATCTTATGGACTGGACTCTTGGGAGAGATGGAGCTCTCCAAATTGCTCTACACTATCCTTTTATTTCTTGTTATTTCCTCCTCCTGTTACTTTTTCCAATTCCCTGTAATTCTCCTACAGTGTTTGTAGGCTATGGAACTGGTTGCTTATCTTGTAATTTTCCATTTTATCAATACAAGATATCCTGTTTCTCTCCCTAAATTCCCTGTGTTATTTTGATTTATCTGTAATCTGAGTTACAAGGTTGTATTCACATACATAAAGGGCCATGGCAATCAGATAACACAAAATAAAGGAAATTAATGGAGTTAAAAGTGACTGTATCATGAGTATGAACTATGCATATAATTACTAACAGGAGAAGGTAAAAGAGTATATATGGATAAACATACTTGCTATAATCTCATCTGTATAATCTGTCTCAATCTTCCCATGAGCCATTGCTCCTGCCTGAAATTAGATTATATCAAAAGTTAAACATCTATTCAGATAATAGGCATTGAAATCAAAAGTTCAACTTCGAGAGTACCACAAAGACAAAGTCCATGTTTCTCGGAACAGTTGATACGTAGTCATTGATGCTTACGAGCTTCTCAGAGCTATACGAGAGACCTAACATTCAAAGGAAGCAATTATTTCCCTTTTTTGGATATTTTGATAAAAGAATTTATTAAAAGAAAAGGAAAAAAATCCAGAAGTTGACGTCAGGATTCAGGAAACCTTTCCAGCAGCACAAAAAGAAGGAAACAATTGAAATACACATCAGCTCCATTTGTTCAGTGAAAGGTATCAGATACAAATGAAAGAAAAGCAAGATAAAAGATAAGTGTGTAAAATGTGTATTGAATTGAATGAATCGTACATGTAGAGTATAGCACCTTTATATAGAAGGAATGCTAACAGAGAAGGAAAGCTTAATAACAGAAAGTGAAAGTAAATCTAAACAGAATACAGTTGACAATTATGACTAACTGATCAAGTCAATACAATACTCTATCATCCCCCCTCAAGCTGAGCAGTGAAGTAAGGTGAAACGCGAAATTTGTCACGAAAGTCAGTGAACTTGAAATTAGAAACAGACTTGGTAAAGCCATCAGCAATTTGATAAAGGGCAGAGATGTGATGAATGAGCACCTCTTTGGCAAGTACTTTTTCCCGGACAAAGAACAAGTCAAGTTCAAAATGCTTGGTGCGTGAGTGGAACAGTGGATTGGCAGACAGCATAACTGCATTGAGATTGTCACAGTAGAGGATGTGAGGTTTTGGAAGTGCCACACAATTCAGAAAGCAGAGATTTAAGCCACGCGAGGTCAGTTATTGTCGATGCTATGCACCTGTATTCTGCTTCGGTGCTGGACCTGCTCACCACTGGTTGCTTTTTGGAAGACCATGAGATGAGATTCCCTCCAAGATAAATGCAATTTCCAGATGTAGACCGTCGATCATCTGGATCAAATCCCAATCAGAGTCGCAGTATGCAACTAGATGAGAGTGAGGTGAAGGAGAAAACTTTAAGCGATAGGAAGCAGTACCACATAAGTATATGAGAATTTGTTTGACTGTTTTCCAATGATTATCAAGGGGATTGTGCATGAACTGGCAGACTTTGTTAACACAAAAGGAGACTTCTGGTCGAGTAATAGTCACATATTGGAGTGCACCCACAATCGATCTATACAGAGATGGATCATGGAAAGGAGAACCAGTGGTAGAGGATAGCTTTAAACCAGAAATCATTGGAGATGGCATGGACTTGCAATCTGCCATGTTTGCCTTGGTGAGCAAATCAGAAATGTATTTGGACTGGTTCAGCAAAATATGACCAGTGGACAGTTTGTGAGCTTCAATTCCAAGGAAGTGATGAATGTGACCCAAGTCTTTGAGAGGAAATGCATAATTTAAGTTCTGGATAAGAGCTTTAATGGCTGTAGAACTTGATCCAGTAATTAGAATATCATCAACATATACTAAGACATAAAGAGTGGAAGTGGAGGTGAAAGAGACAAACATGGAGCTATCACATTTGGTTGCCATGAAACCAAGATTAATGAGAGTGGAACTTAGCTTTTCGAACCATGGTCTGGGAGCCTGTTTTAGGCCATATAATGCCTTGGTTAGATGATAAACAAGGGTTTTATCACTTGCCTCGAAGCCAGGAGGTTGTGCCATGAAGATATCTTCAGTGAGATTACCATTGAGAAAGGCATTGTTGATGTCTATTTGATGAATTGGCCACTGTTGAGTTACAGCTAAACTGAGAACAACTCGGATTGTTGTTGGTTTTACCACTGGACTGAAGGTCTCAGCAAAGTCAAATCCTTGTTGTTGGTGGAAGCCCTTTGCTACTAGACGTGCCTTGTACTTGAGAATACTGCCATCAGGTTTATACTTTGTTCGAAAAACCCATTTGCATCCTATGGGTAATCTGCCAGGAGGGAGAGGTTCCAACTTCCAAGTGTTATTTTTCAGCAGTGCATCATACTCTTCACGTATTGCTTGGATCCAGTGAGGTTGACACATAGCTTAAATGGCAGTTGTTGGCTCTAATGTGACTGTCAATGCTTTTGGTTTATGAATACCAGCTTTGGCCCGTGTGGTCATTTGATGGCTATTTGTTGTTGTGGCTCGAAGTGGTGGAGTGGCAGCTACATTTGGGGTAATCCCTGTGGATGTAGCAGTGCAGCTATTTGTATTTGTAGGAGCTGGTATCAATCTGTCAGGTAAAGAAATAGCTTGCAAATGAGATGTATTGTCATTGTTAGTAGTGTCAGTAGGCAAAATAATTGTATTATGATCATTGAATTCTTGAGTAATAGGGACAGGATAATTGGACTGAACAAGAGGAATGACAGAAGCATGTGATGTGGTTGGAATTTGTATGTGAGTGGATGGAGCATTGACAGTTGCAAAAGGAAATAAAGACTCATCAAAGATTACATTCCTAGAGATAAACATTCGACCAGATAGCTCAAGACATTTGTAGCCCTTGTGATGAGGACTGTAGCCAAGAAAGACACATTGAGTTGATCTATAATCAAGTTTATGAGAGTTATAAGGTCTGGTATGAGGATAACATGCACAACCAAAGGTTCGAAGATATGTATAGTTGGGAGTTTTGTTGAATAAAACTTGATATGGTGACTGGTTTTGGAGGGTTGGTGTAGGCAACAGGTTTATAATGAAAGTTGCTGTTAGAAAAGCATCTTCCCAATGTTGTGTAGGTGTGGATGAGGCAGCCATGAGTGCTAAGCCTGTTTCAACAAGGTGTCTATGTTTTCTCTCAGCTGTACCATTTTGTTGATGAACATATGGACATGAAAATCTATAAATTATGCCATGTTCTTTAAGAAAAGGGGTGAGTCTAGTATATTCCTTGCCATTATCAGTTTGGAATATTTTTATTTTGGTGTTTAACTGCAACTCAACCATTGCTTTGAATTGGGTGAAAATTGTAAATGTTTGGGATCGGTTCTGTAATGGAAATATCCATGTGTACCTACTGTACGCATCAATGAAGCTGATGTAGTATCTTGAACCATATGTGCTTGGGACAGCTGCAGGTCCCCAAATATCTGAGAAGATTAGTTCAAGTGGTTTGTTATATGTGGTGTTAGAATTAGGGAACGGAAGTTGGTGCATCTTGGCCATGCAACATGCTTTGCAAATGTCATGATCAGTTTTATTGTAGAATGGTATTCTACAATGATGAAGAACAATCTTTACAGTGTTGATGGCAGCATGTCCTAATCGACCATGCCAGAGACTTAGACTAGACTTGGAATTGAAATGACTAGCTACATTCATAGCTGAAACAGAAGAACTTGAAATTTTAAAAGGACTGGAACTATGTAAGTCAGAAGAAGAACACAGTCTTGAAGAGTTGAGCTTCTTAGGTTCCTTAGAAACAGCAACACCTTCAAATGCATATAATCCATTCTTAAGCTTGCCTTGGAGAAGTATCTCCTTGGAAGCCTGTGATTTAACAAAACAAACATTAGCATGGAATTCAAAGAAAACTCGATTTTCTCTTGCAAATTGAGAGACACTAATCAGATTCTTTGACAAGTTTGGAACATGAAGCAGATTGGATAATGGAAAAGCTAAGGAATTGGACTGTGATTCAAGAATTGAATGACCAATATTTTTAATTTGCATACCTGAACCATTACCAATTTTTACTGTTTCTTGACCTGTATAAGGTGTCTTGGCTACATGATTCGAGACATCTGGTGTGAAATGATTTGTGGCACCTGAGTCTGGGTACCAAGTTGGATCAAAGGCTGAGAAGAAATATGAGTTATCATCATGCTGTGTAGCACTTGAGCTTGCCATGGTCATATTTGACTGAATCTTGGGCATTGAGTTTGAGCTTCCCGAGTTACTAGTCATTTGCTGTTGTTCAAATGGATTTGGAAGATTCTGACTGAACCTATGATAACACTCCCATCCAGTATGGCCATTGCCACACACTTGACACTGGTTTTTACCTCCATTGAAATTGTTACCTCTATTGAAGCTGTGACCAGATTGAAAGTTGTTGAAACGACCTCCATTTCTAAAATTTCTTCCTCTGAAGTTGTTGTTGAAACGTCCTCTGTTGTTGAAAGAAGATGGACCTCCTCTGAAATTGTTTTGCCTTCTGAAATTCATTTGTGTGAAGTTGGCTTGCATATGATTTAGCTCAAACTTTTTATGCTTTTCAATTCTTTCTTCTTGAGCTAGTAATAAAGCTTCTATTTCATTGACAGTATACGCATCAGATCTTGAAGTTACTGAGGTAATAAACGGATCATACTCTTCACCTAATCCATCAAAGATTGCATCAATGTGATCCTCAGTTGAGATCTTAGAACCAGTTGCTGCCAGCGCATCAGATATCTTCTTGATTTGCAGAAGATACTTTGATACTGGTCCTTCTTTCTTGGAGTTCTTGAGCTGCAGCTTCAGCTGTTTTATTTTGGCGCGAGTTTGAGAAGTGAAAAATTCTTCAAGATTCTTCTAGATTTCATATGAAGAATTGCAGCCAACTATTCTTGTATGCATCGACTCTGACATTGAAGCTAGAAGCCATGACATGAGGAGCTGATCTTGTTGCTCCCAGCTTTCTTCCTCAGCACCAGATCTGGTGTTTTCATCACTTTGATTAATAAATTTCTGCAACTTGAAACCTTTGATCGTAGCCATGGCTTGCTGTTTCCAAGGTAGGAAATTTCCATCTTCCAGCTTAAATGATACTGGATTTGAGAAGGAATATAAGTGATTCGAAGAGCTTGCATTTGCGGAAGCAGAGACGGATTCTTGAGTGGTCTCCATGGATCAAAAAAAAACTCTGATACCAAGAAAGGCATGACCAGCTAGTCTCTCCGGTGACTGTCCTTGTTGGAATCAACTCGTTATTCTCGTTTCTAACCACAATGACTCCACCTTTCTTGGGTACAGTTTGTACTAGACTTACCCATGCACTATCAGATATAGGATAGATCATTCCTGCATCTAACAGTTTAACTACCTATTTCCTAACAACCTCTTTCTTGGTTGGATTGAGTCTCCTTTGTGGTTGCCTCACAGGTTTAATATCATCTTCCATTAGAATTTTATGAGTACAAAAGGAATGATTTATACCTTTTAAGTCGGAAAAAGACCATCATATTTCAGCTTTGTGTTTCTTCAACACCTTGAGAAGTTTTTCTTCTTCCATGGTTGTCAGCTCAACATTGATGATGACTGGATAAGTGTTGTTATCACCAAGGAAAACATATTTCAGATTTGGAGGTAACTCCTTAAGCTCCACCTTTGGTGCTCCAAGAATGATGTCATCTTTCTTTCTTTCTAGTTCTTCC